ATCTAGAATTACTGTATGTAGTAAAGTACATACAGTAACTCTAGATTGCAATTTAAATGTAACCTGTAATCAACTGTGCCAGTATCTGTACAGTCAAATGTTGTTTTGCAGACTGATAAAATTTTGATTGAGAAACACTGATTTACATTAATATTTGAAATACTATTCAAAATGTTAATTAATTATAAAAATCTATACCAACTTAAGGAAATTGCAGATTCAAATGAATGATGTCTTGAACAAAAGTTCTTTATTGATAAAGGCAATGTTTTTTTTATAAGGGAATGTATTCTAAAAATCTGCACTCATTTCAAAGTTATTTAAAATTCATTATTTTTTATAAAGTAAAGTTTTTTGAGTACACGATAAGTTATTTAATGTTCAGGTTATATGATCAGGACTGTGATTGGCTGCAGTTTGAACTTAGTCTTAACCTGCTCCATTAACCTCTAGAAGTGACCAGTTTTGAAGTTGGCCCTGATCTTTCACATATTTAACTTTCCAGCTATTTTCATAAACTTCTTGCTTCAGTTGGTATCAAAATCTCTTAATCAGTCTCAGTTGTGGAATGTTTGGAATGTTGGCTTCAGAGGAGATGTATCAAATTTAGTAATGGTCCAACTTGGTAACAGTGTTGTGAGCATATTAAGCAGTGGCCATGTCTGTCCATATCCTTGATCAGAGGAATAATTCTTTAAGTACAGTGTTAGCCTCTTCTGAATGCTTTTGTTGTCATACACTTCTTTGGTGATAGAAAGCCATGATGGGGCAATGAATATCTCTTAACATCCCTTTGAACTGATTATCAGCCAAACCAGAAGCTTTGGCAAAAATTTGAGTATTGTTTGAATTTGACTTAAGGATCCATATCTAGTTCATTTTTGATGAAATAGATTGTTACCAGCACATTTGCTTCTATCAAAAGTGAAGTAGGACTCATTATCTATAATCATATTGAGATTGTTTGATGCCTTCAAGATTCCCTCAAGCAGCTTCTGCAGAAGGATTTTTTGCATAGCAAGTTGCTATGTCATGTATTTCGGAGCAGACATTTGCTTCTTGAGAGTCACTTGACATTCCTTCAGAATCCAGCAAACATTTCTGCATGAAAATTTGAACTTTGTTCCCAATTTTCTAAGTGTTTGTCCAACTTTTCCCAATGCTTTTTTTTAATTGGTTTCTTCAGTCATTTTATTTCTCTTTTGCCCCTCTCCCCTTCAAGATCCCCTTGCTCTATCTACCCTTGAAATGATGCTATACACTGTATACTGTGGAACTCCCATTGCAGTGAAATGTTTAACTGTACAAGATTTCCTACATTTGCAATTTTTGGTATAAAATCTACCAATTACATTTCTTTAATTTTTCCATTCTTAAAATAGAACATTATTTAGGTACTTTTTTGAGAAATGAAATCAAGAACATTCTAGAATGTGTGCTGTCTCATGCACACCTGTAATTATTCAAAATGATTGAAAAATACTATTGAAATTTATGCAGAATTTTAGGATACAGACCTATATTTGATATATTAAAATAGCTGTTTTTATGATTAAAAACATATTTTTATAATACAGTATTTATTTCTATAATAACTATGTTTAAAACTTTTTAAAATGTTATTTAACATTCATTTATTTTAAACTGGTTAAATCATTTAAAATAACAAAAATCATTAATAAATAAATATTGCTACAAGTCAAATCTAATAATAATTAATAATGAATATTTTTTTTTTGTTTATTTTACTATTTCATTGTTACTACAGAATTTTTTTTAAAGAAGAGATGTTATGTCTGGGATATCTTTTCAGAATTTTATATAAAAAGTAATTTTTCTATCTGATGAATGAATGCTATTCATGAAAACAGTTTTAACTCTTTTGAAAAATTAATATTTTGTTAGCTTAAGCTAATTGAATTAATAATTTCTTAATTCTTAATGCTAGTTCAGGCACTATTAATTTGATGTTAAGATAGCATGCTCTGATTCAGATATATATTTCAGTACATTTAAATTCAGATGATTATTTTTTTCAATATCTTGTTTTGTTGTTACTCTTTATTAGATGTGCTTGTTAAAATCTAAGAAGACTGAATGTTTATATTTACTTTGTCAATAATAGAGGCAAATAAATATTTATCTTAAATAGTTGTAGAAAAATTTTGCTAATAAAAATATCTAAATTATATAAGCATTTGAACCAAAACAAAGCATCATTTTTCAATAGTAAACATCTTTGAAAATGAAGCTTTGTTTTGTATCAAATGCTTTTATAATTTAGAAACATTTTACTGATAAAAAATATTTAAAATATATAAAATAAATATTTATCCATCTCTGTTACAAAGTAAAACATCTTTGAAAATAATAATAATTTTGATTTTTGCAATAAAATTTACTTCTGATTACGTTTTTACTTATTAAACTTAACTGACATAAATGTTTACATTATCAAATTTTATAATTTTCTTTGAAAATAAAATATAAATTTGAGTTTAAAGAATATTTTTAAAAAATTATTTTGATATTAATATTTTAGTAATGTAGAGATAAATAATTTAATATAGTATTCATATAGTATGATATATATATATTCATATATCAAATACCTTTTTGTCTGTACAGTATTTTAGATAATCAATTAAATGTTTGGTTCAAACATTTGAACCAAATGTTTAATTGATTATTTAATATAGTATTATTTGGGATTTTTTAAGATAATATTTATTAAATATGTAAGGTTTTTCTATTTTAATTTTAAAAAATTGTTTTATACAGTTAAAATATGTCTTGAATTACAAGTTAAGAATTTCGTTTAGTTTTGTTTATAATGTAAATGTTTTGTTTTCTCTGCAATAAGTAAGTATAAAAAACAAAGGAAATAAAAATTTTATCATTTTAAGTGTAAATTAATATATTACTTTCCCAGTTGTTATAGAATATAACAGAGGGAAAGTATGGCGATTGGTCAAATATTGCTTTCCACTCATTATTTTGCATTTCTTTTGTTTTGACATTTTGATACTCCACAAGCTCAAAAATGTAAAGAAAACCCTTAGAAATTGTATGATATGTGTATATGTGTGTTTAAATCTATTTAGTATTATATTTCAGGTGCCCAGAGATCAAAAATTTTGAAATTTGGCAGTAATACTTCTATATGTGAGGGATTGATGCTATTATATTTTGGGAATTATAAGTCAAAGGGAGGAGATAGGGGAGTGGGTCAGATTTAATTAAAATTCTACTTATTATTTACATTTTTTTAAAACTCTCCCTTACTCAAAAATTGTTCTTATAATAATTAATATTATAAAAAATTTAATTTTTAATAAAACCTCATAACAAATAGTGTCACATAATTTTAACTTTGAGCCATGTTCATAGTGTTTTTCTCTATAGTAATACATTTATAAACTTATGTATTGTTTCAATAACTAGAGAAATTTTTCATAATTGAACAAAATTACTTCTAAGCTTTTATTATTATTTTAAATTTTATGTCATAGTATAATTGAAAATTTTCAGACTGTCTTTCTTAAGGTTCTTATTCAATCAGATACAAATATTTTTATAGATACATTGAAAAGTTTATATTTATGAAAGATATAAAATAAATATTTTTTGTAAAATTCAACTTTAAATTCTAAGATATGTTTTTACATAAACTTTTCTTTAGAATATTTAATGTACCAGTACATACATATATATATATTTTTTATGTTATAAAAGCAACTTTTATTTTTATATGTCTTTTTAAATAATGAAGGCAATTTAGATGCTGTTCTCAAATACGGAATGTGTGTGCATTGACATACTGTGTTAAAATAGTTCTTTTGCAAAAGATAAAAATAGATCTTTCCTGATGACTAGTGTTGTCCTGAATACTGCATCTGTTTAGATCTGTCAATAATGCTGTTCAAAGAGAAATATTGTGTTCGACTGAAGTGATTTTGTACCTATCAAAATTTGCTTTGTAGTATTATTTATAACGTGTTTACTGATTCCTTTTTATCATAAAAATAAAAAGAATAAAGGTTTCTTATTTTTATGAATCTCATTTAGAATTATTAAATAATTTTTTTACTATAGCAATGTTTTATATAATGGGCATATACTTGATAGATATAAATCTTTTGCATACAAAATATCCTTTTTTTTTTTTTTTTTTTTGGAAAGTAAAATATGCTTAATTGCTTGTATGAATATAATAAAACACTAAAAAGTGATAAAATTAAGGTGTTCTTTTTGTAATTTAATTATAATTTAAAGTCTGTTTTGTTCTAAAATATCTTGAAAAACATAAAATTTTAAGTCTCACTTCACTCTTCCTTACTATTAGCAATGAATGTTTAAAGCGAGGATTCCATAATGTAATTAAGTTAAGGTCCATTTTGTAATGCACTTACACTCAAGATAATTGACAAAACACCAAAACACAGTTTTAATTCAGATCACATGAAAAACTTTCCTTCTTTACAGAGTTTATCCCATTTAAAATTGAACATAAAGTGATTACAAAGCTTCCAGAACACATACAAAATAAATAAATTATCATCCATAAATTAAATGCACAAATAAACATATTCAACAAGAATTATAAACAAAAGAAAATTAAAAAAAAACAGACAGAAATTTGAGAAGTCAATATTCTACAGTGGGAAATATTTACATCTCCCTTCAACAAATCGCTCTCTTGAAATATCTTTGAAAAAGTGTATTTGTAATTAAAATATAAGAAATTTAATTTTTTACTGTTTTAGTGTTTTTTTTTTTTGTTTTCATGGAGTTGTATAGATCAAAACAGGTACTTGTATGAAAGAATAATCCAATATTATTTCAAGTTTTTGATGATAGAATAATTTTCTAAGTGAATATCAGAAATTAAGAAACTATTGAAAATTTTTAGTGACGTTTTTGAATTTATATTTATAATATATTCTTTTTGATTTTTAATTTAAAAAACCTGTATTTATTTTATTCTTATTGTTTTTTAGACTGGCAAACACTTTCATCAAACATCGTTATTGATAAAAGCTTTCAATTACAAATTTCGATTAGAATTGGAATTGAACATGTAAGTATTCTGAAAATTTAAAAATTATTTATATTTTTTTAATTGAGTAAATTTAAATATTTTATATTCAGTTTTCAATTTATTACAATTATCATTATTATTTTAGTCATTGAAAGTGTATTTTAATACTGTATTAGTAAATTTTCTGATGTTCTTTAATTTATTATTATTTATTTTTTTGCTCTAATTCAGTCTACAAATTTTTTACTTATTTTATTTGTACTTTGTGAGTGTTAAAGAATTAATATTTGATATTGATAAAATAGCGTATCAGAATTTTGAATTGCAAAACTTTTTAAAAATTTTTCATTAAAGTATTATTTCATATTTCTGACTGTGTATGTACTTAGTAAGTTATTTAATTTTCAAGTGTTTATTCAATAATTTACATACTTTTACTTTAAAATAATTTTATATAGACCTACATTCAAAAAAATGAAAACATAATTGATGATATTTAGTAATAGCAATTTAAAAAAAATAATAATTTTTGCAATTTTTTTTTTCTGCTTCTCAAGTGTTATTCTTTGTTTCACTTTCGGCATTATATATTGATTTAATTGAAAATATCTCTGTTAAAAAAAATAATACATGTATTTTATTGGAAAATATTTGCTAATATTTTCATTTGATATTACTTTTTACTTTTCTTTTCAAGTTCGAATGTTTGTAATCAGACTCTTAAAATTTTAATATCGAACAAAAAATGGAATTTTTTACATGTAATGATAAAAATTTCATTTTAGAATTTTAACTTTAAATTTTTATTAATTCAGTTGCAAACAAGTTATATTCAAGCCAGAAGAAATTTGAAATTATATCAAGAGAGTATTCACAAGCATTTTTTAATATATAATAATAATTTTTATTTTTAGTAAGTAAATATTGATAATACTTGGAATTACAAGAAGCAAGAAATATAGTTGTTATTAAATTTTTTTTTTCCAGTTACATTGTCATATTGAACTACTTAAAAATAATTATAATGGAAAGTATATAAGAAAATATTATAAAAAATTGAAAAATTGTTACGAAGAAGCATTTTATTTATTAAAAACTAATTAATATTATTAATTATTTCAGTATTTATTTTGATAATAGACAGTATCATATACTTATGAAAAGACAATTTCATCCGAAATAAATCTTTCTTTAAAACATCAAAAAGATATAAATAAAAATAAAAGAAAACAATTTATATAAAACCATTTAGATTTAAAAAGTTTAGAAAGAAAAGAACAAAAAATGTAATTTAAATATAAATTTTTATGTTTAAATTATGAAATAAAACAGACAGGTTTTAAAATAATGAAGTGAATATTTGCTTATGATAGTTTGTCTTCAGTTTAGAAATATATGTACTGTACTATTAAAGATAAAATAAAAAAAATAAATACTAAATTAAAAAATAAATAATTACAGAGTATTTTGTAAACTGTGGACCATCTTTCATAAATAATTCTCCTACCAGTGGCTTTCTCTATCTTTAATAACAAGGACCCTCTGAACTCATGAGTGTCCCCAGAATGTACTCTTTTCCCATCATCAACCAAAGAACAGCACATGACTTAATATATGTGGGAGCTACTTCAAGATCTCTCAGAATATAACATACAATATGTTTACTTAGATGATTTAGTTAATGTACAGTAAGAACAGGCCAAGATCTCACTGTTAGGAACAGACATTTCATTCAACATGCAAAAGCCCTGTAAATATATAATTAGTATATTAATCAGTATGTTGAGGGTACTCCATTAACTCTATAGATCAGAACATACTATCTTCTACATGTAGGACATTGTTTGAGATCAACACCTCATAACTTGGAAGGATTTTTTTTGTCATATATATCTCCATTTTTACTGGTTTTTTTTTATTTTCCTGGCTCTGTTATAAGTAACAGAGGAAAGGTATGATGATTGGTCAAAAAATGATATTTTGAGATTTTTACACTTTTGGACTCAGGGGACATTGAAACATTGAGAAATGCAAAAAAGTGGGGGTTTTCTATATGTATGAATGCTAGTGTCCTGTGTAGGGGGAGCATGATTGTGTTCATTCACTTTGAAGCTTTATAATTATTATGCCTTTTGTCAAAACTTTCCAAAATTTTTACAAGTAGGTTTGTGTATTAAGAGGATTAATGCTATTAAATTTTGGTGGTTAAGGTTTGAGGGAGTAGGGAGATAAAGGGGTGTCGTGTGTTGTATCTCAAGTAGGGTCAGATGTAATGACAATTTTTCTCATTATTAGCATTTACAATTTTTTATAAAACCCATTTCTACCCTCAAAATTAAGCTTTTGCCATTTTATAATAATTAAAAATATAAAAAAATTTTAATAAAATTATAACAGATGGCATTATTAAAATTTTAAATGTTGCTGGATTTTTTTTGGTTTACATTTATTTCTAACAAATAACGTAACCAACACCTTATTGTTTGCTGAGGGAGTTTTATTAAAAACGAACGTTTTCAATCCACTTAACGGATCATCATCAGGCTAGAACATACGAAAATGGAATACATAATAAATGGAACAATAAGTTCAAAAATTTAAAAATATCAATAAACTGATAACAAATCAATTAATAAGAATAAAAAATAAATTTCAAACGATCCCTAATAATAAATAATATACTACAAAGAATAAACATTAATACGATCTATCATAGCTAAATAGAAGCTACTAAGTTTCCTTTAAATCAAATACATATCATATTTCAGTTGATGCGCTACTTGTAAGCTTTTTTAACGGCAAATTTCCAAGCCGAGGGAAGACCTTCCGCATCCCTAGCATTAATGCATCCGTCTTTAAGTTTGCTCCTGTATATCTCCATTTTTTCGGCCGTCCTCGCCAAAGTTGGTGAGTGTACTTGTCTCACGACTTCCGCTTCCTCCCATCCAACCAGGGATCCTTGGGCCTGCGCCATCTGGGCCAATATTGTTGTATTAGACCCTTTCCTAGCATCATATTTGTGTTCTCTAATCCTTACCCCGAGGTTTCTGGTAGTAACTCCTACGTAATCTTTTTTTATTCCTAAT